CACTTTCACACAGATCCGCTCCAATCGTGTGCCAGGCGCTGGGAGGAAGTGGAGTGGTGACCAAGGGCTCCTTTCTCTGGGTAGGTCTGTGCTCGTGACAGAAGGCACATTGAGATATCTTTGCATAAAGATCCGCCCCGATGCCAGGCCACCAAACTGACATTTTTGCTCGTTCTCTACATTTGTTTAGCCCTTGGTGACCTTCATGCAATCGGTTAAGGATATCTCGTCGTTGTGCGGTGGGAACTGCGATCCTGTCGCCATGTAAGAGTAGTCCCTCAGCCCTGGACAATGATGCTCGTTCCGCATGGTAAGCTATGAGCTCCGACGGCACGTGGTGTGGCCAACCTTCTTTGATGAAGCGCATTACCTTCCTCATAATCGGGTCGTTGGAAGTGGACTCACGAATTGCATTCAACTTGGGCTCTGACACTGGCCGGGTCTGAATCACGGCCTCCACATAAGCTCGCACATCCTCTTCGGTGTCTGAAACCTCTGACTCTGTTATGGGGTTGCGTGACAGGGTATCAGCCACAACTAATGACTTGCCTGGGACATGGATGGCTTTCACGTTGAAACGCATCAGGCGCATTAGCAGACGTTGACAGCACAAGGGTGTTTTGTCCAGATCATAAGTGTTAATCAGGGGAACCAGGGGCTTATGGTCCGTTTGCAGTGTAAACTCACCCAGACCCAGTAGATAACAGGAAAGCCGCTCACATGCCCAAACTGCAGCCAGACATTCTTTCTCTATTTGAGAGTATTTCAATTCAGCACAGGATAAGGTTCTGGAGCAGAAAGCTATAGGAAGTGTCTTGATGCCATGGGTTTGCAACAGAGTGGCACCCAGTCCGAAACTGCTGGCATCCGCGGACACAATGGTAGGTTTTGTGACGTCATAGAAAGCTAATATTGGAGCAGAGGAAAGCATTGCCTTTATTTTGCTAAAGGCCTGCTGCTGTTGCGTGTCCCACAGCCATGCAGACTCTTTCTTGAGCAGTTCGTTGAGTGGGTGCAACACCGTGGACAAATCAGGTAGAAACTTTCCGAGGTAATTTACCATACCTAGCACTTGTCGGAGTTGGGTGATGTCTTTGGGGCATGGCAGGTCTGTAATCGCTTTGACTTTATCTGGATCGGGTTTTACGCCATCACTGCCCAAAGAAACGGAGTTCTGTCTTACTGAAATGGCATTTGTCTTTATTGAGCTTCAGTCCTGACTCCAGGATTGTCTGCAAAACCGCCTCCAGATTCTTTTCATGTGTCTCTTGATCTCTGCCATACACCAGCACATCGTCCATGACCACTAAACAGCCCTCATGTCCCTCCAGCAGCTTGGTCATCTCCCTCTGGAAGATCTCAGGAGCTGATGTGATCCCAAAAGGAAGTCTCTGAAAACAAAATCTGCCTCTTGGAGTGATAAACGTCGTAAGCATTGAACTATTGCAGTCCAATGGGATTTGCCAGAATCCAGATGATGCGTCAAGCGTTGAGAACAATTTAGCCCCTGACAGCTTAACAGCAACGTCCTCCAGGGTAGGTAGCATGAATTTTTCTCTTTTCACTGCTTTGTTGAGGCGCTTTAAGTCTACACGTATCCTGACTTTGCCATTTTTCTTGGCTACTGGGACCATTGGAGCGCACCAGTCAGTGGGCTGTGTAACTTCGCGTATTATCTGCATGGACTGCATTCGCTGTAGCTCCTCATCAACCTTCTGGATCAATGGAAAAGGCACCCTGCGTGGTGTTGCTAAACTGTAGGGTTGTACATCTGACTTCAATTAAATTTTTATCGGCTTGCAGTTCAGACAGCCAATTTCCCGGAATACTTCTGCACGAATGTGGTCTGCTCTGGCTACCAGTCTCATAGCACAGGCCGCACTTCTGCTGAGAAGGTTATTTGAATAATGTCCATCGACTACATAAATCCAAAATTGGTGACGAGCTGCATTTCTTTCAGTCGCAGCAAAAAAAATTCCTATTGCTTTCACATTGCCACCGGGACTGTTAAGCTGTATTGCAGTTTTGTTCAACGGAGGGCGCTGTGGCAGACTTTGGTAAGTGTCATTGGACATAATCGTGATGTCAGCCCCCGTGTCAATTTTAAAGGTTACTGTTACGTCTCCCCATTACTAGGTCTAGAACTAATAGGGAAAGTAACATAGAAGTATTAAATTTAGTTAAATAAATAACAAAAAAAAGAAAATAGGTTCAGCTACTGATAACAACTTGTGTTGAGATGAATCAGACAGAGACAGATTTCGTTGAGTGCTTTTTAGTAGGTCGCAATAGTAACCCAATAGTTTTACAGTTTGAAAGTGAAGAAATAAATATTTACAGAATATACACAAATGAAGAGACAAAACATAGAACACAGGAGAAAGGGACAATGAGCGGTGCTAAAGCAAAGAAATAAACATAACAAAACCCTCTAATCTTAACCCCTTTGATATTCCTAAACTATCAAAGAAATACACGAAAATAAACAATTTTCCGGCAACGAATCACCGACTAAACTACACTAAATAACAAACATAAATACATGAGGTAGCATCCGCTCCTTACCTGATGTATATAAACAAACTCAAACTCTAACGTGTTGCATTATGTAGATCACGTGACCGACTAACTATCCCTTCTCATTGTGTCTGGGAAGATCGATGTCGTACGACAAAGTCACGCACCAAAATAAATCAAATAATACAAACTTAGAGAAATAAAAGAAAAAACAATCGAGGAGGCTAACAGCGAACAACAACACAGTGACACGAGAAAAAACACGCCTCCCCCTCTCTCTGCTCGTCACTTCCAGGTCTTTATATGGAGAGGGTGAGTTCGGATTGGTTCTTTAGGGGGATGACGTCACGTTGGTTAATCATGATAAATACGAACCCACCAATCATGCGACCTAAGAATAAGGACAGCAGAGAACAAAAGAAAAGGGGAGGGGGGGAAAGAAAACACAACCAAAATACGACACAGACGTAACAGTTACTGTTTTACCACACACAGGAAGACTCACCAGCCAGTCAGACTCTGAATCACTTTTCTCAATACTGCCCAGAAAGTATGCTTCACAGTCATCATTATCGCTGTATCGCACTTGTACAGCTCTCACAGCCTTGCTTTGGCAGACAGCAGCAAAGTGCCCGAGTTTACTGCATTTACGGCATTGCTTATTATATGCGGGGCAGTCACGTGGCCCATGACATCTATTGCAACGTGAACACAGTTTATCTTCTATTTGTTTATCCCCGTGCTGTCCCTTCTTGTTTATTCTCTTACCAGTATCGCGGTGTTTACCTCTATGCCGCTGCTGCAACGCTGCCACTTCAACGGACATCGCCACTGCCGAATTTTGCGTTTTTACGAGCTCTTGCCTGTCGTGCCATCTGCACTGCTCTCTCAAGTGTCAAATCACTTTCCATCTGAAGTCTTTGTGGCACACCACGGTCGGCTATTCCAATAACCAGTCTGTCACGAATGTGTTCGTCTCTCTGTGTTCCAAATTCACAACGCTCCCCCAGCTCATACAGTCCTCTAACAAAAGCTTCGACTGATTCATCGGTCTTTTGCGACCGTTGGTGAAAGACTGCACGTTCATGTATTATATTTCTGCGCGGTATGAAGTGTTCATTAAACTTGTCCACTACCTGCTGATAATCGCTGGAATGGGCGGCCTCCGCGAACCGAAACGAGGCGAATATTGTCTCTGCCTCCATCCCCATAGCGTATAGCAGTGAGTTTACTTGAACGCCACCGTCCTCTTTATCCAACTTTGTAGCAATCCGAAATCGCGCGAAGCGTTGGATCCACAGAGGCCATGTGGAGGGCTGGCTAAAATCGAACGATTCTGGAGCTTGAAACAACGACATCCCTTTTAGTTTGGTTAGCGGGTACGACGAACTTCTGACACCATGTCACATATACGCTCACACCAGGTATATGTTCTATTATGATTTATTGAGAGCAACAGCTCATTCAACACCATGTGCAATTCTCGCAGTATTCATCTGACCACTCCCTCACCACTTGCGTCGCACACATTACGTCATACACTCCCCAAAGCCTTATGGGTAATGTAGTATTAACATCCCAACACATACTCGTTCTGATGCTCAGCTTGAACTTCAGCAGATCGTCTTGATCATGTCTACATGGCTGAATTCATTGAGATGCTGCCATGTGATTGGTTGTTTAGATATTTGTGCTAACGTGCAATTGAACTGTTGCACCTAAATTTATCATTTTTAAAAATACTGTAAAATAATGCATTGGTGTAATGCTTTTTGTGTGAATTTTTTTTTAATTGAAAATAAATCAATGCCATTGTACTAACGTATATGAAAAAACTTTGAACAAAATCCTACATCATGCGAAAAACCATTCATGCACATTTGATGAAGTAGAGTAAATCTGGGCAGTAAATCCTGGATTTGTCCTTGGATCTGTCAAGCAAACGCAGAATTGGCTGTAACACTGACAAACTGGCACTCACAGACAGAAATGACAAATGTGCTTTCATATTGATGGTGTATTATTCTGTCTCTCTCATTTGCCAAACGAGCCAAAGCGATTACCCCATGGAAAATAATCCCCTCTCTTGCTCTCACCTTTAAACAGGGGAGTGTATTTATAGATCTCATCTCATCGTGTCTGTGTGCCTCTGTCTGTCATCACAGTGGCACAGCCTTCAGATTAACCTCAGCTTGTGACTGGAGTGTTTCCTGATGTTCTCGCTTCCCAAATAGCCCTGATGAACATCACAATTCCTTGGCTGCTGATGTGATCTAGACCACATCTATCCAATCTATAAGAATTTCTGCAACAATGAAGGAAAAATAATTACTCGGAGGTCTCTTGGTGGTTTCATTTAAGTATCAGATGTTTGCAGATGTTTCTTTAAAACTCAAAAGAGATCTCATTTGTGAATAAATGTTTTTTTGTAGTTTTTTCATGTGCTTCCACTCACCTACTACGTGTGATCTCTGTTTGTACAGGAAGAGGAAATGCCAGAGGTGGAGATTGACATTGACGATCTCCTGGAGGTGAACAGTGAAGATGAGAGAGCTGTAAAACTACAGGTAAACTCCTGTGTGAGCGTGTGTTTAGAAAAGAATGCATTTTCCTATTAGGGTGCGTTTACATGACAATGATGTACTACAAATGGAAACTTTTGTTCCTTTTGCGTTTTTCATGTTCAGACGACAACATTGTCAAAATGATCCCTGTTCACACGAATCTGCGAAAACGCCTAAAAACGCTGTATTACGATGTCGCTTTTTTAGTAGTTTACATGGAGACGATAACGGTATTGTTTTCAAACAAGTGCGCTTTGAAACTAGTTTTCAAAAGTTAGCGTTTTCAGGCCCCAAACGGTGTTGTTGTGTTACTGAACGGTCAAAATGCATAACTTTTCCGATTTTGGTTGTAAAAGGTGTCGTGTAAACAGCCCCTTAAACACTGAATTAAGAGTTTAATGCCAAAACATTGTACATGAATGCAAACACTTTTAGCTATGCTTGGTTTCATAATGTTCTGAAATTTATCAGAATGCAATTCATAATGCTTTGTTCATTTCGCATTCTCAGCACTGCTGAAACCGGCGTTAAGAGAATCCTTCTGAGTAATTAGTTCAAATTAGTTCTCGAGGCCGTATTTTGCCCTTTTACAAAGTCTTGATTTTGTTTTTGGGCTCTACTAGCATAGGTTTCAAAAATGTGTTATAATATAAAAAAAAAAAAAAACAATTTCACGTATTTTGCACTGTTGCAGCACCTCTCTTCCAGTCTGTCAGTAACGGTCTGGGGTGCGTTTCCCAAAAGCATCGTTGACAAACTATGATCGCAAGTTCTGTTGAATTGTATTGGTAATTTGCGACTATAGTTGGCTTCTGGAAACACACCCCTGTTTAGTTCCTGTTGCTATGAAGCCCCTCTTTCCGAAAAGCGCAATGTGCTCTGATTGGTCAGCTGGAACGGTGTGTTATGATTGGTCAAGTGTGTTTTGGAAATGTCCAGACCCTTACCATAACCACGAGTTTCAACGAACTACTGACTTACTCAACCAGGCCTTGCCCTTTATTTTACTTGTGCCTTGGGCGGGAATTATTTAAATGAGGAATATTGTGACGTGTTCATTCCCGGAAGAAAACTAAAGACTCGAGTCATTTCAGGGAGTTTAGAAACAGTTACTGATATAGAGAATAACTCCTTTGGAGTGACTTTGTGCTTTGTAACTTTGAAGACCTTTTTCATGCTTCAGGTTTTTACTGCCACAGTAACACAAAAACGCTATATCCCCAAGCCAAAAATTCACGTTGTGTACGTAATTGTCTGTAGATGTTTAGGTTTCTGAAGTTTTGTGTGCGTCTCAGTCGGATGACATCTTCCTTTTTTTGGTCCCTCAGGAATCACTGACAGACTGCTTCAAGCCCACTGATGTAAGTCATAAAATATAGGCCACCAACCTACGGCTCTGTTCCAAAACATAGTGAGCTGCCTACGTAGACAGCATTTTAAGGAGTATTTGTACTTACTTACTTACTTTTTTTTATATATATATAATCATCTGAAAAGTATACATGGAATGCTGCCTTTTTTGGACAAAAAAAAATTAAGTCAGTAACTTCTAAGGCGGCATCTTAATCAAAATGCTACCTTAAAAGGCTGCTGCCTATGTATGTAGTCAATAAGTGTTTGAAACGGAGCCACAAATTCCACACAAACTGAGACTTGCTAACATCTGTATGTTGTCTTTTAATTCATGCTGTACCAGTCACTCTACACACACACACTGCTTTAGGATATGCTAGTGGATTTCATATAAGTGTGCACTGACCTAAAAACATGTGTGTGTGTGTGCTCAAAGAATCCATCCAACATTATGAAAATCACAATCCATAGGACAGCAGACACAATAACCCACTGACCCACACACACAGATGCTTTTAATCCAAATATCCAACACCCATGTTTACATGGTGTGTACTATGTGTACTATATAAAATAAAAGTTATATAAATGTAAAATTACAAAAAGTGTCCTCATCATGCCATGGGTGTTTATATTAGATTAAAAGCATCTGTACACACACTCTTACAATCCTCTCGTATCTAATCACAGATGCTTAAACTGTCATGCGTGCTTGTTTGAGTGTGTGTATTGTGCATCAAAACCAAGCACATGGTTTGTGAATCAAAGACCTTGCAGCATTGTTGCTGACCTACAGCCACAAGCTTTACACGGCGAATGAATGATGCGGAAACATGAGTAGACGAGACTTGAAGAATTTTACTACATACTCTCTCTCTCTCTCTCTCTCTCTCTCTCTCTCTCTCTCTCTCTCTCTCTCTCTCTCTCTCTCTCTCTCTCTCTCTCTCTCTCTCTCTCTCTCTCTCTCTCTCTCTCTCTCTCTCTCTCTCTCTCTCTCTCTCTCTCTCTCTGTCTTTCTCTCTACACAAGGTCTTCGTGCGTGAGCTCCTCGGCAGGATAAGAGGAATGAGAAAACTCAGCGCTCCGCAGAAGAAAAGCTTTTAAGCGCTCAAATGCCAACGACAATCCAGCTACCTGGACTACAGGTCCCACAATCCATCACTCAGTCTAGAGTCAACATAAAGCCCTCAAGGACTCCATATCCCATGATTCCTTTCTGGCCCAGAATCAATATACCAGAGTTCATTTTCCAAGGACCCATATCCCAAAAAAGCAACTTTGTTCAGACCACATAGATCACACAATCAATCCAAGAGTGCAAAGTTCCTCCGGGACGCAATCTCAGCAGCCGATCGGGACAGCCTGATGTTCCTGCCCTCAATCTCTCAATCGGTCTCACAGGCCCAATACATTATTACACTGTTTGGTGCAGTATTACAGCTATGTGTGTGAAACCACAACTGACTAAGCTATTTCATATAACCTATTAATTATATTTTATATTGGTTTTCTTTTAAGCAAAGTTGTTTAAGTCACAACCATTTTTTTTTCTTTTCTTAATTAACAGAGTTTTTAACACCTGTTGGCCTTTCCTGCTGATCTCAGAATAGTTTTTTTGGTTTTGTCCAATCACTATATATCCAATATCTGGTCAGTTAAATTGACTTTCATAATTTTGCAAACAGTCTAAACATTCTTAAGATCATTTACTTGAGAAGCAAAATGACTTGATTTAAGATATTAAGTCTTGTATTCTGATCAAAATTAAGTGAATTTATGCTTAAAACAAGAACAAATCATCTTTAATTCAAAGGGAAAACAAGATTTTTTTGTGTGACCTCATTGGAAGATTTTTTTTTTTTTTTAAGCATCGCATTGCTTCTCAAGAAAATGTATCTTGATTTAAGAATGTTTAGATATTGTACTGGAAAACAAAGCTAAAATCTTTTTTTTTTTTCAGTGAGCAAAAGTGGTCATGAACTTATTGTGTAATGTTCAGTTTTCAAGTGGCCAGAATACATATAACTCTGTTATATTACCATCATTATTGTATTTTGATAATTCTAATCTTTCAAGAATGTTGGCAGGTCTCTAAAATATTATGTGTTGTTTCAACCCAAATTTGTGTCAAATATGGACAAATCCAGCCGTTGGGTTACATTTTTAAATTACACTTTTTAACCCAACATTTGGGTTTGTCCATATTTGACCCAAAATAACAACATGGGTAAAATGACTACTTTCATAGAGTGGATATGATTGTAGAATGTGAAAAGTTTAAAGATTTTGGGTGGGATGTGCTGCCAGAAAGTAAAGAAATAAGACTATATTCGGAATTAAATACTAGTGAACTATTTATTATGAAGTATTCTAGTATGCTATTGCGAACATAGCCTGAGATTTGAACGCTTCTAAAAGACAACAAGGGCTGCATGTGATGATGGTTAAGTGTTCATCTAATGATGAAGTCTAATGATAGCTGGATGGGGAAGTCTAGTTTGACTCAAGCCATTATCGAAATCACATAAATCTAGGCTTTTATCTCCTTATCCTTGTACGGTTTCACACGGAGGCTGCCAAAGAATATACTGTTAAGTGGCTGAATATTAGCATATATAAAGTGCTATGAGTGTAAATTGATATTATGTTTGGCTATAACGAACATTTAATCTTCATGTCGGTTGGTGTCATACTCATGGGTCAAAATTTGTGTTTGATGGTGTAAGTTGTATAACAAGGAATCCAGGGGGAAAACTATGGTGCTGTTTAAACTTTTAACCCTCTACAGCGTGGATGGATGATGCATTTTGCAGGCCGAGAGAGAAAGTGCAAAAATATAAAGAGATTCGCTGTTCTAGAAGACTCTTCTATTTTTATGATATCGCAGTTTCTGTCGGCCTGCATCTAGTATCATTGTGGATTTTAAAGAGTTTGACCCTTCTCTCTGAGAAGAACATTCAGGGTTTAGGCTGATCTCTTTATTTTGGTTTACTAAGTTCGTTCTAAAATGTATTTGAGTGTGCGAAAGCTTTATTTATGCATGTTTTATTGGCATGATAGGAACATTTTTGGATTGCTTACTAAAGCGATGATTTGTCTTTTTATACATTATTACAAGTATTACTCTTATAAATATTAAATTCACTTTTTATTCATTTTTAAGGACTGTATATCTGCGTTCTGGGTGTTTTTGATTGTTTTTCGTTTTTTAAATATATGTAAAGTGTGGTATTTTTTTGTGCTGTTCTACTTACAATAAAGGCAAAATGTCTGAACTGTTATAATACACATTCATCAGTGTTGCTTAATTTTATTCACACAAATGCACAATCAAACACCATCACACTAAGCAGGTCTATTTGTGAAAAACACGCTCGCTTTGGGCTGTTATAGTCACAAATTTGCATCTAATTACGTGTCGAATTAATCCTTAAAATGTATTAATTCGCTTCAAGGCCGCTCATCTTATGGTCCATATCTGGATCTGGATTCTGTTATCTGTATAATTCTAATGCATTTTCATGCTCTTCTCCAACATATATTCCTTCTGTTTTCTAGAACGTGTATGACACCAGCGATGCAGTTATTATGCAATTAAAATGATTCATGTTATATATGATTATCTGCTGATCCTGGAGCCAGTGAGATTGCTTGCGCAACATTTAAATAGTCTGGAATTTTTTTGAGGTGTCATGATTGAAATCATATATATATATATATTGGTTTAATAAAGGGAATAAAAACAAAGTGATGCCATTTATGTCAATATGCCTCTGTTAAAGGGATAAAAAAAATCTGTCATTTTCTCACCCTCAAGTTGTTTTAAACCTTTCTGGGTTTATTTCTTCTGTTGAACACAAAATAAGATATTTCGAAGAATGTTAGTAACGGTTTCTGGTCCCCAAAGCCTTCCATATGGAAGTCAATGGGGATCAGCAATATCTTCTTTTGCATTGAACAGGACAAAGAAACTCAATACTGGTTTAAAACAACATGAGGGTGAGTAAATATGAGATTTTGGATTTTTGAGGGATCTATCTCTTTAAAGAGCACCGATACATTACAAACACATGATGAACTGTGAAATCGCTTCATAGCAACGCTTCCCCTTTAAATTTCCTGACCCACTTTTTGCAGGCGCGTTCACGAGGGAGACTGGGAGGTGCATGTGAGGAGAATGTCTAATGACAGGCGCGTGCTCTGGCTCTGCGCCCTCCAGATGTGCAACACAATCCATTCAAATGCCATTTAGCTCAATCAACAATCTAGACTGAAAGGGTATCAGGGTTTCTCTGCAAGTAAACGATCCAATCAGGTCTAATTTGATTGTCATCAGTGCTGTTGTCGACCATTATAGCATCATGTTAAGATTGTGATGTGGGCTGACTGAAGTAGCCCAGTTTAACTCTCCTCAGCTAATGTATTCTGTAAAAGCACTGGTCAGCATGCTCATCTTCCCCCAACATTTTCCTTCAGACATCTCTGTTGCTCTTGTCTCTCTGTAAGCATGTCTTTTTCTTCCATCTTTGAATGCCAGCCTTCGTCTCATTCATTTGTTTCTTTAACTCTCTCATATCTAGCATGCCAATGTTGGTGTGCCTGTGCCAGAGGACAGGAGAAGACAGCACCGAAGCATCTGCTACCCAGCAATGCAATCAGAGATTCGCCATGCGAGGAAGATTAAAAAGCCACACGAAGCAGAATTTAAAACACACATTCCTCTCTGCATTTCCCAGACCCATCATAAAGACAAAATATTCATTCATGCACTTGTGCATTTCCGAAAACCCTCTGTCACAAAGAAAAAAAATCATTCATGATCAAAACATGCGTTACATTCATCATTAAAAGTCAATCTATTTATAATGAATGCGCTTTTTTCTTTGGCATTACGCTGCAGTCAGCCATAAAGAGAGGCAAACACCGCAGGGGAGAACACAGAAAAGGACAGAAAGAGGAAGAGAGGAAACAGAGACACATGGAAAACTGGAAAATTTTAACATTTTATTGCAAAATTTCCAAGAAATTAGGCTATATTTTCCCACCTCAGCCTCAAGTGCCAGAGATGTCACCACAACACACACTGGATACTGTTGGTTTAGTGCTAAGCAAATAGGATTATGATTATTATAATATATGATGGTATATATGATTATAAGTTAATTACATATGAGCCATATCACAGGAGCAAGAGTGCTGTTGGTAATCCAGTGCAGGTAATCACAGCTCATTATCGTAAACACAACACTTTTGCGAGTGTGATATTGCTTTAATACAACAGACAGTTCAATAAAGAAAAAGCTAATATGAGTAAGTTCAATTTTAGACGAAATATTATACCGCCGACAAAAATAAAATAGTTCCTAACGAAGCAACCGCTACGCGTCTCCAAACAACATGCAGTAATGGCGTTATTGGATGAGATTTGAACAAATTAGTTGAGTGAAGGATTCAGTGACTCGCTAATAAGAGTCCGAAATTGCCCCATATACCATTAAATAGGGGACAAAAAAAAAAAAAAAATCACTTAGTCCTGGTCCGATAGCGTTCAGATTAGCATTTTTATCACCGAACCTAAAGGCAGAGGGATATGTTCACAACCTGATTGGTCAGCGTTTATGACGCATTGCCTATTTTTAGATGGAACTTACCAAACATCCAAAACAATGCTGTGCGTTGGGATAAATGCTTGTTGTATGTACATAGTCTGATGGTATTTTGACCAGCTGAGAACTCGTGAAGAGCTTATGAAATGTGTAAAGATTAAAAACCGAGGCAGGAATCCCTCCGTCACACACACAAACGATCTGCTGCATGGAGACGCAGTTCTGTCTATCCCACAATGCACCGCAATATTGAGTGTACAACTGATGTATGCTCAGCTCAACAGCTAGAGAATACCCATAATGCATTGTGAGGGTCGTGCCGAAATAATTTGTCACGTCTGACCAGAAGTGGACTAATCATCCATCCATTCATTTTCCAAACCAATGGTCTAATGGTCTAACATAATTTCATACAGGTATTCCCTTATATTAATTATTCAATTGTTTAATTAAGGTTTATACAAGCTAGTTTCCATGACAGGTTTCAAGATAAAAAAAAAAAAATCTAAAAGGAGCTGCCAGTTTGCCAAGCGTCAAATGATTTTTAAAATCCCTTAAAACTCATCTTTGATCACCAAAATGACATATTTCAAAAAAAATATTCCTTGGGAAAAAAATTCTTCATGCCTTAAAATAGCTTGAATGTAACTCTACAACCTTGCCTCATTTAGTAATACGCGGTTCTATGAAT